GTCTTTACACACACACACACACACACACACACACACACACACACAATGAAACACTGGGTCAGACCCCAGGCGGTCAGTGGACTAGACTGGCCTCTGGCTGCTGGTTTGTTCATTGTGACTGAGAGCAGAAAGTGTCTCTCGCTAGTCACTGCCGGCCCCTTCTCCCATTCTCCCTGCCCCACATGCATGGACCCTGCTTCCTCGGTCAGCCGGCCCTCGGCGTCTCACCTCCTTCTCTTCTTTCTGCAGATCACCTCTCAGATCTTCAGGGCCGGGCAGAGGGTGATCCTGGTGTATCCTGGGACTTTTACAGCAGTTCTGTGTTGGGTGAGTTTGAAGTGGGATTCTTCCCACCCTGATCTGTGGCACAGGGATGCGCGATTTGATGTGGGTTTCACTGTTTCTTCTCAGAGTTAGGAGTAGCCCTGTGGAGGGCCCTCCTTAACCTGGGAGCAGCTCACAGAGCCTTCTGGCCTCAGCACTGACCCACCCTTCTCCCAGACGTGGAAATCACTTGCCTAAACCCGGGGTGCAACACCAATTCTGACAAAGAATTCTCCACCCTGGGGCCCTTTTCAGTTCTCTCTCTCCTAAGGTCCTTTTCTCCTTTCTCCAGAATCCCCTGCGAGCAATGCCACCTCTCACACTTGAGGGACCCAACCCCTCATCTGGCACTGAGCTCCTGTCCCTTCGCCACCCTCCCCCTGCAGTGCACACACAGGTTTTGAGAGAGCTGCTGCCTTCCCGGTCCTCCTGGGCCATCTGGCCCAGGCTTTCCTCTGGGAAGATGGGCACCTCTTTAATCTCCGGCGGCCAAAAAAAAAACCTCCGGGGGGCGGGCACCTGGCCAGTGTTCACTGTCAGGGCCAGAGGCTGACGATTAAGGGAAGCACCCACCCTGAAGCTTGGAGGAAACTGGAGCAGAAGTTTGGGATGGAATGCAGCAGCCACACCCAGACTCGGGGCTGGGGAGGGGACCCTCTGAGCCCCCTCAGGGCTTCCAGTGACCCAGCAGGCAGGCAGTGAGGCAGCTTGAGAAAGCACAGCCTGAAGGGCAGGTGTTCGGACCTTGCCCTTGACTGCTGACACTGTCTCCAGGCTTCCATGCCCACAGCCCAAGCAGTGAGCGCATCCTTCACACCACCTTGCCCGTGGAATATAAGGAATCTTTAGCCACGACATGTTGTGTCTTCCAGGTCTAGAACTTGCACGTGCCCTCCTGAGGATTGAGTTGTGGGATCGGCACACCTTGGCCTGGACTAGGGGCCTGTGGCCTTGTCATCCCCTAAGTAGCCCTCTGCGACGACGCCCCCTTTATCTGGCTGGAGCATTTCTCTTCTTCGTTTTCATGCACGTAGCTAAGTCCTAATTCCCTGTGTGCCCTCCTTGCAGAGAAAAAAGATGGGTTTGCCTGTGACCTCCTGCATAATCCTCCTGGAAGCTCTGACCAAGAAGGGGACGATGTGGAAAAGGATGACTTCATGTTTGAACTCTCAGACAAGCCTCTGCTCCCTTGTTACAACCTCCAAGTATCAGTGTCCCGCGGGTGAGTGTCTGACGGATCCATGGGACTGAGCGCCCAGTTCCTTGCAAGCCCTGACCACCTCCTGGCAAGTTGGGGTTCTCTAGAAGGAAGTGAAGACCTGGCATATGAGTGCTAGGGAGTAGGGAAGGTAACAAGTAACAAAGGCCAGCCTGACCTGCCTGCCTAGGCTAGTTAGGTCCAAACTAGAGGCTACCGGCCCTAGGTACACCCACTATACATGTTTCCAGAGCCCAAAATGTAGATTCACTCTCCGAAGGCATTTTGCTCTGTTCCTGGGAGTAAGGGATAATCTGGGAGGTATTTGGACTGATGAGCTATTAGAATCTCTGGAACATTTTTGTGGTTTCCGGGGACAGCCAGACAGAATGTTTGAAATTGAGATTCTTGGAAAAGTCAAGACATATGGTTGCCATAGCTGTGGGGGCACTGGGGTCCTTATGTAATCCACAGCCCAGTTTCCTGTGGTCTCATCACCGGCCAGGCGATGCGTCAAGGCTATCAGCGCAGGCTGCTGTTCGCTGTGCATGTCACAGTGGGGATCACCCAGTTTGGGAGACTGTGCTATGCTCGACACTTAACGTTAGACTGAACCCAATTTAATTTTTTTTTTTTTTTTTTGGCTATAGTGCACATACACTCATCTGACAGACAGAGAGAGAGAAAGTGAGAAAGCACCCCTAGAGTGGAGGGTCTCACTACAATCCCGTCTTCTTCATTCTCCTCTCAGGGTTTTGTCCCACGTGTACATGCCCCCAGCATGTTTTTCAAGCCATTGGGCCTGGGACTCAGCCACACAGTCAGCCATGTGAGATCTAGCACCTTAACCACCACGCGACCAACTGGCCCCAGTTGAATCTTTTTTTGAAAAGAAGTTTATTCGTCTTTCTTCAGAGAAAGGTGTGCACACCCATCAGGGACCCCAGAACACAATCCACCCGCAGCCTCAGGCGCCAGATCACAGGCACGTGCATGTGCATGCATGGGCACGCTCAGGGCAGGTCCTGGGACACGGGCTGAGGCCCTTTTCCATTGTGCTCCTGTTGTGTTACCCCTGTCCTGCACCACTTCCTGGCCTCTCAATTTATCTTTTGTTTTTTATTTAATTGCCAGGAGGCATGTGCCCCAGCCAGAGAGGGAGAGAGAGGAAGGGAGAAAGCCCCTCCCACTGGGGCATGGCCACACCACAGTCCTTCCTGTCAGGACTGGGAGCACACATGCACATGATAGTGGGGTTGAGATTGGCAGTCGGCTGGCCACGTGGGATCCAGCTCCCTACAACCACTAGGCTCCAGGGTTGGCCTCCCCTGTTTAATCTTTGATGATTCCAGAGTTCCACAGCCTGCAAGGCTATGGTTCCTGTGCTCTTGCTGGAGCCTAGAGAAGGCCAGCCTGACCTGCCAGCCAAGACTGGTTAGGTTAAAACTTGAGACTATCGACTCTAGGTCCATCCAGTATATGTGTTTCGGGAGCCCCAAATCTAGATTCACTCTGAGAAGGTTGCATCGTCACCAGGTGGCAGGGCTGGTTGGAGACTGAGAATGCAGCTTGAATTGTTGTTTTGTTCTTAGCCTCCATCGCCAATTTCTTCTTATTGGTGTCTTCACAGATTTCAAATACCTTTGCAAACAATTTTTTTTTAGGATTTTTGCCTTAGGGTGCATATACTCACTGGAGAAAGACAGAGACAGAGAGAAGGGAAGTAAAAAATCACCCCAGAGGGACCAGCAGTTAGCGTAATGGCTATGTCGCTGGACTCCCATGTAGTCGACCACAGTTCGAGTCCTGCACCCGGGGGCTTAAA